AGAGGACTTGTCGTGCTCTGAGTCACAGCAGATGGCCAGCACTATCAAGTGCTAATAGAGGTATGTAGTAACCACTATTGGTGGTAAAACTCAACCAACCGAAGATTCCTCTGTGACCACACCATCTATTGCTGCTTATCTGGTGTCAAGTGAACAAGTAAACAATTTAGTGGCTTCTGGCAAATTCTAATGTCACTATTTCATCCTAAACGCAGTTATAGTATATGTTACGTTGTTTACCTACCCAATTAAAACATATAGACGATAAAGAAATGGTAAAGGAAGCTTAGTCTTCTTCTGTATTTTATCTCACAAAGAATGTAAATGTCAGTTATAAATGGACAGATTGCTGTATGTGTCTGTTCTTTGCATTTTATGCATGAAGGTCCGTGAAATGTACTCCTAATTGGACTGGTGTATTATTAAGAAAGTAAAGGAGAGCAGTGTTGAGTTTGTTTGTATTAGCATTTTGTTCTTTTTAATTTTAGTAATTAAAAATAATGCAACCTATTCTACAATTTATGCATTTATTGACAAGGTTTATGCCACAGTGATAATTTTTAATCCTATGATGTCTTATCTAGTCTATCAAAGTGAGTACTGGTCACATTTTCCTCATCTGCCTGTCATAATGGCCGCCCTGAAAACAAGTTTTTATTGTCAATTAAAATTAAACGAAGGATTTAAGCTAGCTCCAACAATAAAGGCAAACTCTTTAGCGAACGATGATCAAGACCAGTATTAGGTATTAGGCTATATTCTTTCATTTCAATCTAGGCTGTTACTTCTAACATTCTAACATGTGAAATTAGCTAACATTAGCTTGCATGCTAACTGATTACTAATGGCAGTATTACTATTCTTGAATAACACTAGCTAACCGTATTTAATTACAAATGGTAGGTTAACTTAGGCTAATGTTAGCAAAGTAAATTAAAATGATGAGAACACATAATATTTAATTTTAACTGCAAAAAACGTATGTTACCTTAGTTGTGGATGACTCTCTAGCTTCTGCTTTTAAATGGGTGACTTTACACCCTAGTGGTTAACAAAAACTCAGCTGACACAGTGGTAAAGATGCAGTGTTTGAATGTGCTCCATACAGTTTGTGGCACTGTGAGGTTGTATAAGAATAATCTCAGAAGTTTTTTTTCTAATACTTCAGGAAATTTTTATAAGGAACTTGTTCATATGCTCCGTAGTGCTGAGCTAGCAGTGCTGTTATGTCAGAGATAGTGATAAATTGATGGCACGCATACTAATTGATTTGAGAGGTCAATGTAATAGTATGAATTCAATGAGACAAAATAAACAAAAGTGGAGCCAAGTGACAGGGAAACACAGAGCTTCTGGTGAGTCTTGGGTTACTCAGTAACTAACACAAAAACATAGTTAGCGGCTATCTGGTATGTAGCTGTCTTTGGAAAGAATGTTGAAATGTATATCATTCATATTTATTCACTGCAATTTTGTTTCAATTTCTGGCAAACCCATAAATCAAATCAAATTAATAAAAAAAATGCAATCTAGCAAGAAGCAGAGAGTTATATTTAAAGTAAAGCAAAACCTGTTGAGTATTTATAGAAACTGTCATTGAAAGGTACAGTAGTGACAGCATGAAGCTAACAAAAGAAAACAAAAAGGTAAAATTAAAATTAATCTTGACAGCAACATTTGTTTGAGCTCTTTCCATCTGAGGGATAAAAGACTGCCGCATCAGTAAATGAAAACAGCCATGAAAGCACGCTTTCAAATACATCTAATTTCTGCTGTAGGTACAAATTCCTTTGAGCTAAATGATGACTGTTCTGCTTTATGATGCTTGGCTCGCATTACAAGCAGGATAGGGCCCTCACACACTGAGGCATGCTGCGGTTGAGGTGTGCCGCTGAAGTAGCTGTTGCACAAACCATTTGGTGTACTTATCACTTACTGTCCCACTATGTGGCATTCAGCAACACCCACTAATTATACGTCATATTACTGTGTACAACGTGTGGGACCCACAAAGAAAATTTCATGTTTATACTAACTAATGCTGATTTTCTGTTGCTACTAGGTGGAGCTAGTAGACAAAATATTGACATGCATAGATGTAGATGTTTCCATTTTTGGAGTCTAATCAAGAATGTCTTGGGCAGTGGTGAATGAGTGAAATTTACTGTGCTGTCACAGTCATGCAGTCCACTTAAAACTCTTTTACTTTTAAAAGTAAGCAACATCAACATCTAAGGTTTATTCAGATGTAGATGTGATTATTATGTTAGGAGAACAAAACATACCATTTCCTGTTCCCACTAAGTGGTGCTACATTGTAGACCCAAAACTGGCAGAAACTTCATGTGTCACCATGAACATGTCTTTCAGCACCCCCAAAAAAAGACTCTCAGAGAGGATTCTCTCAAATTCCAATGTAATGCCCCAAAATGGTTAAAAACTACTAAACTGTCACCTTAATTTGGAAATTATAGAATTTTTATTGGGTTTAGGGCATGGCCGCAAGAGGATTTTTAAAAAATATCACAGGGTGTTACATGGTTGTGCCAAATTTCATAAATCTACATTAAACACAGGAGTGCGGCTCCTTTGCGTCATTTTTGTATGGGTTCCTATGGAGCTGTTTTAACTCTCCCCATATATAAGACCTGTAAAATTAATAGATTTTCGCTAGTCTTAATTTCATCATTTTTCAGGCAGTTCATTGCTGTAAATAATGATAAAGAGAGCAAAGTGCTTGGGCATTATTGAATAATAAAACACATATGAACTACATTTATCTAATTAAATGCAATTCTTACTAGAAAAAACATATTGTTAAAAAAAAAAAACAGTATGAATCCTGCATTATGCTGTGACACACTAAAATGAACCCAAATGTTGCTCAGCTAGCACCGAAACTGTTTGAACTTGCTATGCAGACAAACAAATTTCACAAGTGAGTGAGTGTGTGATTAATGGGAAACTAAAATTTTTCCCCCTAAATAACACCAAATCAGAAAAAGTTAAAAACCTGCATCATTTTCCTTGATTTATCTGCAAGAAATGCCATCATTTGCCCTCTGATTTATGCAGTTGTCTGTGATTGAATAAACAAGGCTGAGTTCCACTTCCTCCAGCAGTGCCGTTATGTGCTATTTATATTGCGGTTGTTTGGAGCATCATTTCGGCATTCCTCTTTGCACAGCAGTGTATTTGTGGCTGCAGGATGGTGCATTATGCATGGATGCCAATGAAACTTGTCATTAAAGTGGCCTCGTTTAGGAGTTCTGTGCTCTCTCTAAGCTAAAAAAGACTGAATAGAGATATAGAAAAACAGCAAAAGCTACATGCATTTGTCATGTGGACGTGTAAATGATCAGCTGTCAACTCCTGTGGAATATCCTTAATATTTCACTGTGCAAAGCATGTTACAGACTTCATGCATAAAACAGGCAGACCAGGTTTTGTAAAGATGTTTTATTGAGGTACGCGGCCAACCAACGAATCTGGGAAACATCCAAACACATACTTAACATTTTGAAGTCTTTAAGGTGTAAACAGTAGATGCTACGTGAAATTAGACATAATTCATGATAGCACATTTTTAGATGAGTAAAATCAAACTTCCAGTTATGCTGTGACAACACATTCCCCTGGAATATGTTTTCAGGAGTGTGGTATTGTTTATGCTGCTGTCTCTCTGCCAACAAGGACAAACCGTAAGTCCACCAGCTGAAGTACTTCATGGTGAATTGAAGTTGCAGTTGAAGTATTTTTAAATACAACATCTACAGTATTACTATCAAGGAGACACATCTACAAAATTACAGCTTATTCAAATGACTCAAAATAAAGTGCTACTCCCGTGATGACAAGAGAAGTTTTTAAAGGAAAAAAATCACAGCTTCTAAAGGCTTCCACAAAAAATGCAGACTAAAAGGAATCAGCTAGATCCTTGTGCTCTGAAAAGGATGGGTGAACTAAAATGTGCTTTAATTTATTATTCAAATGATGCAATCTGTCCTTCAGTTATAGATTTCTTTCACATTCCTGATTTTCCACACACAAACTCAGGGACAAGGACTTTTTAAAAAAAGAAGAAGATTTTAAATAAATAATGACTTAGTGCGTAGAACTCTAAGCAATCCGAAATGTACTGGTATTAAAAAATGGCTTGACTTTACGTCAGAACTGACCAGTCACATCAATAATATAAGGACAAAGGAGGCCAAACGGGGAGTGGAAGATGGAGATGACAGGCTGACATTTGATCAATGATGACTCGTGCACCCATGGGTACAACACTACCTGCATGTACACTGACTCATAATGGTTCAGCACTCGTGTCATCCCTTTCACTGCACAGCCTCCTACTCCTCCTGTTTTCCTGTGTCCCTCTAAGCTGTCAGTGAAACTCCTTGTCATGGTCAGAAGGAACCCCATTGTGCTGTTGTTTTTCAGGCAGACTGCCTACAGTTTTTTTCCTCTTGTTTCAAGCTCTAGTGAACATGTTAAAATTCTGGGCAACGCTTGCAACATCCCACTGAGGCTCTTCAGCAGGTCCCTGCAGAAACCGGTGGGTTTATGCCCACCGAGGTCTTTCATGCGAAAAACAGCAGAACACCTTCTGCCACTTGTAACTTCTAAACTTGGTAGATGTTGACATTTTTCTTCCTCAGTGCTCACGACAAACTCCCAAACAACCCCCCTAGTCTTCCTAAAGAGATTTGCCTCCCTTTTAGCTTTGATTTCTTTTACCTCATCTGTTTGTAAAATAGTAACACAACAGAATAAGGACGGTAGACAAACACAGCTGTGTCTCAAAAGTGGACAGACATAATAATCTATAAAATTTTACTTAAAAGAAAGGAACAATTTTCAGGCAATTCCTGGGAGTTCATGTTTTTGTTTTAAGGATAGTCGAAAAGGTAAACTCTGAGTCTTTGGGTAGATAGTGATGATCACAGGGTTTGACAGACTTTCATACCAGAAATTAAAAGATGCTGGACAATTTTATAGCATACTTTAATTGTCATTTCATAATGAAAAGAATCAGTTTTTGATTTTTGTGTGAAAAACCTCTTCTTTTTGCACTCTCAAATCATTGAGTGCAGTCGTAACTCAGCCAGAAACTACAGACAATTTTCAGATCTGGTGTATTCCTTTCATCCTATCCTGCCGTCTGTCTAAATGGCAGTAGCTTTCCATAGCTGGCAGTGGTTGTTCTTGGCAAGTGCCTATTGTTGTAGCAGTCTACACGAAGCTGATATCAGTCCCCAGGGCAGAGACCCTGAAATTAGCAGATAGGAATGAGACACACGGAGTGGGTAGAAACAAGAAAAGGACACTGATAGAAGCATCATGTTCCCATGACAGGATTCAGCCTCCTCCCACGCTGGTAGACGTCTTTTTGATGAGGAAAAACTAAATCTGAGCTGGCATCCAGCAGACATTTTAAAGCATTTTTGACCACCCTTGTCTACTAAACATCGATTTATTGGCTTTGAAAAGATAAACCTACAAGAGAACTAGAGCAGGGCAATTGCATAACTGCCCCCTCCATTAAAGGCTTACAATCAACCAGCTGAGCTGGAAACCATGTGTTTATGAGGGGCTGTGGTTCCAGATCCTTGCAGAAGTGTGTATTATGTTTTTAGTTTTTCTGTGTTTGGCTGACCAGTTGGAGAAGCTGGAGCAGTTGTTTAGCCAGGGGAATGAGGCAGAAGAGGGGTAGTTTTAAAATGGGTGCATCCCTGGGGAAAGTAGATGTGGAAAGATGGTGGTCTGTGCACAAAGGTTCAAATCTCCTCTATGGAATCAGCTGGGACCAGCCCTTTCTTCTTTCCACTGCTCAGCTTTAGAAACACCTCACCCTCTTCTCGTTTCCCCACACAAATCTAAAATCAGGAAACAGAAAATAAGATGCTTTGTTTTCTAAGAGGAAACTAGAATAAAAGATTATTTTTACCAATATAAAAACTGTTTTTAAAAGAACAAATAATAACAGACCTTAAAAAAATCTGAAAGTTATTGTGTAAACTGCCTACAGGTTTTTTACTTGTGACTAAGCACTATGAATTTTCTCTTTGTGTGTATATGAATAAAAATCAGTGGATGAAAACTGATTGAATGTGACCCTGAAGGTCAAAAAACAATGTGGGTTTTCTTTCTAACGGTCTATACAATCTGGAAATGATGAGCCTTATTCATAGCAAAGACAAACAGACATAGATAATGCTGGTGCCAATCCTTTGATCGCTCTCTAACCAGGATGCACCCCACTTCTCACACAGCGTGTACTGGATTTGGCTTCAGTCCCTTGAAACCCTTCACAGGACAGGTTTCATGAATTGAGAATTGGAATCCTATCATCAGTGTATGCTGGGTTGCCATAATAGCCTTTTGATGGTTACAATGAAAAAACGGTGAAGCTATCAACAAAAATAAATTAAGTCTCAAACCAGTATTCCACCATTAGTATACCTGGGATTCCCTCACAGCCATGTGTCCTCTCTCTCGGTTGCCGGGATTGCCCTGAATAACCCGCCACACTCTCTCTCCGGGTCGGACCCTTTGCACAAAGTTGGCAGGGAAAAAACCAACTTTGTCCCCACATTTACCCTGAGGAATGAACCAAAACAGTTCAGTCAGCATTTAAACTGTATCTGGATGCCAAGATAGCTGTCACAGATTCTTTAGATCTAGTTAATGAGATTGCGCAATGATAGCCTGATCTGCGCTTACTGGCCCACCAGACTGCGCTCAACCCAAATTGTTAGCTGACAATCCAACTTGATTGTTTTTCTGATGGAAAATCTGGAGTTTTACTGCTCCACTGTTGTCAAGTTCAATCTTAAAAGAGGATTGTTGGAAATCTCTATATCAGGGGTCTCGAACTCCAGGCCTCAAGAGCCGGTGTCCTGCAGGTTTTAGATGTGTCCTTGATCCAACACAGCTAATTTAAATGGCTAAATTAGCTCCTCAACATGTCTTGAAGTTCTCCAGAGGCTGGTAACGAACTAATCATGTGATTCAGGTGTGTTGACCAAGGGTGAGATCTAAAACCTGCAGGACACCGGCTCTCGAGGACTAACGTTCCCTACCCTGCTCTATATAATAAACTGCCTGGCCAAAAACCCCCAAAGTCTAATGCTCTAATATGTCATTGAACCACATTTAGCTTTAGCTTTGATCAGAATTAGAATCACTTTGTAAAAAACAAGGAATCTGTGATAGTGTCGTGCAAAAAACCCAAAAACAAACAGTAATGCAGATATAGAATGTATGATATTTACAGTACATATAATTATACGTCTCTATATAAATATTAAAAATAAATACACAGACTACCCACAGATATAGAGATGACAGCACGTATTCGCTCTGGCATCATTTTAATAAAGCCATGCAGTGTCACAATATCTATTTCCATCCAGAACGGTGTATTGATGACGGGAGAGTTGGATTTCTGTCTAAAGTATTCTCCAGAACATCCCAAAGATGCTCCGTGGGGTTAAAGTCTGGTCTCTTTGGTGACCAATCCATGTGTGAAAATCCATGCGTTTTCACACTTGGAATCCCATGAATCCTGGCATTATAATCTTGGATTAGGCCCATGTAGTTCATCACATGGAAAATCCATTGAAATACCTGCTCGTTCAGTATATTCAGGGAGTCAGCTGACCTTCTGGACACTTAAAACTGCTGTACCTAGACCTGACCAACTGAAGCAACCCTAGCTATTAATGCTGACCTAACAGGCTTGTCTGGTAGACACTATACATGATGGATGCATCACTACATCCACCTCTCTTATTACCTTGATGCACCCATCAGTCTGGAACAGGGTCAACCTGAAGTCAAACCACATGACCCTTTTCCATTGCTGAACTCAATCTTTTTATTCTCTAGCAAATTGAAGCCTTTTTTTTCCTGATTAGCTCTGGTAAGTGGTTTTCCTAGGGCTGCTATTTAGTGCCAATCCCTTGAATTCTCTTCGTATTATGCATGTGGAATTGCAATTACTTTTGCTATTAAATATAGCCATGAGATGTACTGTTGATCTTTATTTGAGTTCACCAAACGTCTAAGTGACCTCTGACCACGATCGTTCAAGGTTTTTTTCCAACCACATCTCTTCCTTGGATGATAGTTGGTTTTAATAATGCATTGGACAGTTCTCAACCCACTTTTAGTAGTTTCAGCAATATCCTTAGTTGTTTTTCTTGTCTTCTTGAAAGTCTTTTTAAAGTAAAGTCCCCCCAAAATGAGTAATTTGGCACCAAATATTCATTCATACTAGTTTTAAACAGTTTTTCAGTGAAGACTGACTGATAAGAACTGAACACTTTCATATCTATCGCTTCCATCTCATAACAGCAAAGCCCAAATGAACTTTTAGTTATTTAGTAGTATAATTGAGCAGGCACCTTTATTGTTATACCATCATAAACAGAAATGAGAGAAACAACACTTTCTAAATTAAAATTTTACCTCATGTAGTGGCAAATCATCCCATTTTTGCTGTTTGTATAAAAAAGATGAAACATTTGTTTTCCAGGTGCGCACACATAAACAACAGATTTCATCCCTTTCTTGCCAGTGATAACTGGGCATACCTCATTATGCAGCAATGTTTCACAGTTTAACACCCTCTGCCTCAGGTGTTGATGTGTTTATTGAAGTGATTCACAAACTATACATTAGTAATGAACAGATGATTCACAGATTATACATAATTTAAAGGTTTCTTGGAATGAATATGTTGATGTGCTGCTCCGCTTTGGGTTACGTAAGTTCAAGCGAAAACTATGCTCACAGAGTGTACGCTAAATCTGCACTCTGGATGCGTTTTCCTTCTTCGTGAACTGAAACACACGGGCGCACACACAAATGCACATTTATTTCCATTGGGAGTTAGTGAAGCTCATTACAGACTCAATAAGGGCCTCTACGCGACTGCAACAGTAGCCAAGTTCATTATGTTAAACTCTTTTGGTAATTTTCAGAGGAAATTATGTTCTATTTTTGTCTGTGGCTCCTTACATGTTTGCGACAGGCAAAAATGGAGCAGGTGTTTTGCATTAAAAGCTTGGTTTAAAGACCTAATTTAACACATGCACAGTATGAATGCATGTGCACACACATAAACACACACACACTTCTGAGAACTTGGGGAAATAAAACACAGCACACACCAACATCACCAGGTATGCACCAACTAGCACACACAGATGTTTGCAAATGATTTATTACCCACCTTCCACCACTCCTCATTAGAGTCGTCAGTGACCTGCACCCGATCACCAGGACTAAAAGAGATAAGACAAGAGAGAAGATGGGAAAAAAGGGCATGAGAAGGGAGGTAATTGGGGTGGAGAGGAAAAAGAGACAGGGAGACAATAGAGGGAAACATGATGGGAAAGGCAACGGAGTAGGGGGGAAGAAAGGAGAGCTGATTGCAAGCACAAAATATTACAGTTATCTAACTGCCACAGAAAGCTGTAGTGTACCCATGGTAGCAACATTGTGGAGGTTAAAATTTGGGTGAGTCTTTGTGTCTCGCTGTAGAGGTGACAGAACAGCTGAAAACAAAGTCATGAGGTCTACATGAAATATAACTCTATAGTGTCTGCTGCAGCAATGAAGGCTAGGCCCGATCTGCAGCCAGCCTGGCCTGCATACTAATGATGCTACCAATTTTTGATGAGACTTCTCTACACATACACAGTATGCCCACTGTCCTAGATATACAGGGAGAAGCTGTCCCAATTGCATTTCGGTGCATTCTGCCTCCCGGATGTCTGCATTCACAGCTGCCCTATATGATCATGGTACACACACACACACACACACACACACACACACACACACACACACACACACACACACACCACACACACACACACTACCATGTGAGTCATATTTCTTAGGTGACTGGTACAATTCTGCTCATGCAGCGTCTCAAAGGAGCGCAGTTAAATATTTAAATGCATCTTTTATAAAGGTTTCGTGCCCTATATTGTCTATCTAACTAAGCATTTATATCTATATTGTATATTTCTAACAGCAGAATTAGACAACTTTAGCAGTTTCCTGGTAGTAATAGATAGTGGATAGTGGTTCTAACTTAACAATGCTAGTATTTTTATACCTTTACTGTTGCTATTTCAATTTTTAAATACTATATTTTACATGTACAATATTTCCTGACAATATGGAGGGCATCAGAAAGAGCAGATAGGTTTCTTTGTAAAAATCCTCACAATGCCTAGTGGTGAGATTAGCTGCTATTCAGTCTCAAAGAATCTATGAAAAAAGCTACTCAGAGATGAAACGCAAGCCACTACATATGTATTATCATTGTAATAAGTACAAATGTTATCTAAATTCCATCCATTTCTGTCCATCTTTTCATTTTCTTTCAACCTCTCCCTTGAGAAGATGCCACAGCGGGTCATCTGCCTCCATCTCTCCATCACTACAACCATAAACCTTCTCTTTAGTCTTCCTCTTTCCCTCGTGCCTGACAGCTCCATATTCAAAATCCTTGGTCCAATATAACCAATATGCTGTTTTTCTTCTCTGTTCAAACCCTCTCAACCTTGTCTCCAAACTGCTCAACCTGAGCGTTCCCTCTGATATACTCTGATAATTTTCCCTCCATTCAGTCCAAACAAAAATGTTATCTTCAACTTTGCCACCTACAGCTTTTTTTTTTCTCTCTCTCTCAAAACTATACATCACAACAGGTTCACTCTTGCTGCTATCTGTCTGTCACAAATCCCTCTGACACTTGTCTACACCCACTCCCGCTTCTTGAACTCTCTTTTTCACCTCTCTTGTCCACTGTCCATGACTTTGGATGGTTAACTCTAGGTATTTAAACTCATCCACCTTCACTACTTCCCTCTAATTCACACAGATATTCTGTCTTCCTTATCTCCGGATCATACCTCTACCTCTCTACCTCTGTCTTTCTCCTCCTCCCTACTCTTACTACAGATCACAATGTCATCTGTAAACATCATAATCCGTGGAGACTACTGTCTGACCTCATCTGTCTTAACCACTTATCCTAAAATGGTTGAACCAGCTGGGGTGGAGCACATCCTGGCTGAAAGTGGGAAAGTGGCGGGGTACATCATGGACAGGTTGTCAGTCCTTACAAATCAAATCCAAATAAATGTAAACCCCCCAAACCCACTCATTCTCATGTAAGCTGTGTGTTTGTGAGCCATTATAGTCAAACCACCTATACTCATCATCACTACAAATATAATACACACTGATTAGATAACTGAGATTCTGCCCACATAAAAATTATCTTTTTTTAGGTGATTAAACTATCAAATTTCTGATAATAATTTTTGCAGAATTCATATCCATGTACTGGTTTGTTAAAATCGACCTGTCTGGAATATGGTACATGTTTTGACTTCTGCCATCCACAATGGTCTGATCTTACTTTCTTGTATTTGGGCTTTAACTTTGACAACAGCGCTCTGCTTTCTCCATCTGTTTTCTCTCTTTCTCTCTCTGATAATCTTCCGCTCTATGCCATTTCCTCTCATGCATGTCCTCCCTTTCATCTCTCAGTTGTTCAGTGTCTTTATCCCTTCCCTGCTGGGAACACAGCTCAGTCACTAGTTCTGCGTGGGACAGTGATGGGCTTTGAGTTTATAATTAGTCGTCCTTAAGGGCCCCGGCACCGTCCTTTGCAGATGGTGGGGACATTTTCATCCTGCAGGAACAACAGCCGGGGCAAACACGAACAAAAACCGACCATATTTGCACACGCAATGCTAAAAAAAGCAATTGCACACAAGCACTCCTGGACATGCACACGCATATAGCTATAAAAATCCTTGCACATAGTCAGGTTGTTTTGCTTTTACTCACTGTAGTTCCAGGTCATTTGGTTCCTGAGGCAGAAACTTGTAGAGCGCTACATAGGTGTGGATAGAGTGGACTTCAATGCGCTTGGGCACCTGGTTACAGGGAGATGCAGGAAGGGGAGGCAGTGAGACAGAAATACACGCTTGAGGAATAGAGCAACAAGGGATGAAAGTATGTACAGGTGGATTAGACAAAGCGGTACCTTCTCCTCTGCAGTCTGAGTTTGTTCGCTGCTCTCGTCTACCTCCTTTTCGATCTCTGGCTCGGGGATAGGATCATCTGGAATCAGCGAGAAAATGTCTTAAAAGTCGCTAATCACACACATAAGCACTCGTTTATTGTTTTTGTTTTTGTTTTTTTACAAGCAGCCACAGTAATTCTCTCTCACGCACAGAAAGTTATGCGCGACACAACATCTGCATAGACACACATAGGCAAGGGCATGCAGCGCATGTGCATATCCACATACATCAAGGCACAGACACAGAGACGTCTTTACCCCCTGTCTCCTGAGTTAATTCTTCCTCCATGCTGGACTGTCTCTGTTGCCTCTCCTCTCCTCCCTCACCCTCAAATAAGAACATAGAGAGGAAGCAATAAATATCAGCACAGGAGGCCAGAGAGGATGCATTTGATAGTGGGTGACCTTGTTGTCAGTCAGTATGCTGGAAGTTCATGTATTCAACAGGTTTCAGAGATACCTGCGGTTCACAAAATGTGAACATTTTACATTTTAGCAAGCATGCACATTCTTTTCAGTGGAGAAGTTAGATGAGAAGCTTTCTATCAGTCTCAAACGTGTATAAACAGACAACATTTTGCAACATTTTGGTGAGGCGAGGTGTTTGGTCCAATGTTGAGCAGCAGTAAACATCTCTTGGCTGTTGCTTCATATTTGCTGCTTATAAGCTGTACACAGATCAGTCTCAAATATTTGTAGCTGAACTGTTACTTTCCGATATCGCAACATTTATTCAGGGTTTACAAGTTTGATTTAGATGGCTTGCAGCTGTTTTTCAGAGGATTCGGAGAGCTTTTGAATTAGTCTCCATGTTTATATTATGACTAAAAAAGGTAGCTAAGAAGACAAGAATATTGTTATGGTAAAGATTTTCTTCCAATTTAATGGCTGTTCTGATAATACCTAATAAATCTGAATCTAAAGCATTCTTAAATGTATTAACTCTTAATAATTCAATAAAAAAAAACCATATGCACCCTTTACAAAATATGGCTTAACAAGGGAATGTCACTGTCAGTTCTCTTAATATAATAAGTAAGTTAGCTAACGGACCAGTGTTGTTTATTGTGTCAAACACACGGGACTGAACTGTCTCTACCCCACCACAGGCCTATGATGTCATACCAAGCTGCGCGTTGGTGATTCTGACAAACTGCCAAAACTGGAGCGACTCATCTGTGCCAAGGACGTCCCGTAGCGCAAGGCGGCATACACAGGGTCTACTCGCATCCGCGGTGCCTCTGAAACCACACACAGACACGTAAATTATTCACTAAAAGACTTTGGACACACTACAATCAGGGCTACACGCTGAGATTACACTGTACATCATGACTATTGTGCCTGTGCCAATCTGGAGGAACCAAGGGGTTTAAATATAACTGCTGTAACACAGTCAGTCCTGAACCAAAGTGGCCTACTTTAGATCTGCGAGGACAGCAGCCAAAAATTCAAAAGAAAATGAAGACATTCCAATGAATTAACATGCTTTGATTTATTTAACTTAGTGGCAAGAGATGTGTCTTAGTTTAATAGCTTTAACAGATGTGAAACTGTAGAAAGAGTAGAAAGGGAATAAGAGACAAAATGTAAATATGGAATCTTCTGAAAGTCTTCGCTGCTGCATTTCATGTAGACAGCAGTGCTTGGGTGCTATCACACTATTTCTGAAGTTGGGAATTAGATTTTCAGCTCTTTCCCCATCCAGCTCAACAGAAGGAGGGTAGAGGGATTTTGCTGCAGGGCCAGATGTGTCTCAGTGTGCGTGTGCCTGTGCAGGATGGAGTTGAAATCACCTGTAGTTTCATACTAAAGTCATTTCTTCTGTATACAGAAGAAATTGTGCAGCAATGTGTTATTTAGTATGATTAAGTCAGGTATTTAGAGTCGATAAAGCTCATTACACTGACTGAAGAAGGTATTTCTGCAGAGAGAAGTTAATTGCAGATGAGTAAATGATGGGATGGGAAGCCAAGCTTAGAGACTCTACACTCCACTGCTCCATATAAATAATTATTTTTTTTTTAGATCCTTAAGGTTTCTTTTGAGACTGGAAGGAGAGTTTTTATGTAAAGTAGCTTCAGGTCTGTTTTTATTATAATGTTGTTAATTATCAGTTAACTGATAACATTCTGACCCGAGAATATCATCAGTATCAGGTTCTCTTTGGCAGATTTAACCTTAACATTTAAACAGAGAAATCCTTTTCACATTCATCACATATGAATCATCACTGCAAGACTGCAACGTAGACCATTAAGTTCCCGCAACTAGCAGACTCATAAATGAGGTTTAATATGAGAACAGTAAATTGTGGCCAGGAGGTACTTGATGGGAAATTAAGGGGGTCTGTGAGTAAATACAAAATGAAAACTGTTGTCTGATATGAATGTGTGTAAACATTTTACCAAGCTTTTGTTAGCATAATTATGAGCACACTGTGTAATGTGTGATTGTGAGCTTGGCAGGTTGCACTCTCAGCTGGCCCTGGCAAAGTCCCAGGCATCATGGTGCTGAGCTCGAGGTGATGATGGAGTTGTAGGTTCATTGTACCCTGACTCATGAGTACTACAAGCAAGTGACAGCATGGGGCGCCGACCCTGATGTGAGTCATGCATTACGGCAGATGACTGTGTCACGTTCAAAGGTGTTCTTCCAAAGGTATGACAAAGAAAAATGAAGCTGCATTTCAGCGGTGACCATAAAAGGAAGAACAAATTTAAGCACTTTGGTCCAGTGGTTGTAAAAGCAACTCGTACCACTATGATTTGGCCTTGAGCGGACAAACACTGACCTGAAAACTGATTAAAAATATAATTTTCTTTGAAATTTATTCCCAGCATTTGCTGAATGAAATAAGGTGGATGTTTGTGAATTTGGGGTTACCATCAATCAAAAAGTGGGCAGCATTTCAATGTTTATGAATTTTTAAACATGCAACTGTGGTGCCTATCTAATAAATTAATCCTCTTCACCAGTCCAAGGATATACAGCACAACTCATAAACAGAGATATAAAACATAAACATTAGAACTTATAAATATTTATTCACATACTTTCAGCGTAGAGACGGTCCATCACCTCCAAGTGAAACTGAATTTGTCTCCTTCTCTTTATCTTTTTCCACTTCACATTCGTCCGTTGCCAGGTGAGGTGAAGACATTTCTGTTTTTTATTACATTACAAGCAAAAGTGCAAAAAAAAAAAAAAATAGAAAATCGAAAAGTAAAACCCAAAAGGCTGGACAAGAGCAACGTCACGAAACAAAAGCACAGGGACACAAGCAAACCCAACCAGCGGATTCATTCATACAACACATGCACACTCGGACTGCGCTCACCTTGGCTTGGCTGAACTTCCTTGACGACAGCCAACTGGTCATTGACGAGCATCGGCGAGCTGAAGTTTCGCTTGAATGCTCCCGACTAATGGAGGGGAGAACAGAGCACAAGGGATTTTATAAGCTGCCATAACTTCTTGTTTATAGACTCAACACATAGCTCAACATATATCTCTTTGTAGTGCTATTTGAGCATTCATACAGAACACGTACAAAATGTAAGTGAAACAATTAACTGGGCTCACTTGCTCCAGGAAAGAACAAATAAGCAAAGCCACGTATGAGCTCTCTCTGCTGCTAATCATGAACAATAAATTCACTCAACCACTACTTGTGGCCGCATGACTTAGACACAGACACGGACATGTGATTCTCCGTGTGTATGTGTCAGCACGACTGCAATTTCACACCGAATTAAGCACAGTGAGAGTTTCAGCTGAGATATCGGTTTGTCTTTGCCTTGACTTGCAAATGAGCCACTCACTTTGTCATATTATGTTGAAGAGAGAAACACTCAGCGGATCAAAGGCAATAAGTGGCTACCTTTGTTCTCCACAAACACACCCAGATTGTGCTCTGATGATATTTTAGCTTTCGCTGCCCTCATCATTCCCTACCTTTCCCCCTCTCTGTTTGTGCACTGCTGTCAAACTGCACTGAGCTCTCTTCAGTACAGCGCTCTTAAAATTTTCCAAGTGGCTCTCAGAAGGTCTCGCCTCCTGCTGCATGCTAATGTCCTCTGCTTTACACTAGAGGATAAACACAAAAGCTGTGTCTGAAATCACTCCCAATTTTCTGCCTAGTGAATCATACTCACCTTCTACCATTGTCCTTCAAACAGTCATAATATGACATTTTTCATGATAACAAAAAAAAATCCACATTGTAACATCTAACCGTTACGCCGCAAGTGTGCGAAATACTCTTTATGTAAGCAGTAGTAAAGAAAATTAAACATTGCTAATGATGGCCCTAAAAGGATGGTGCAATGATTAATTGTTTTATTTCAGTAGCATCAGCACTTCACAGCTTCAAAACAGCACTTTTCCTTCTGCCAAATGCATCTGTGTTTTTTCAGCAATTTAACTGAAACTGCACATATGGTGAGCAAAAATGACTGCCTGCAGGTCAAGAGTGTTTCAGTGTTTATACGTGTGAGTCTGTGTGTTGATGTAATAAATGTGTTTGATGTGATACAATACTGATTCATCTGTGGGTTTTTTTTTTTCTTTCCCATTAACGCTGTACCTAAAGCTATTCTATTAAAAAAATTAAATTAATTGCAGAGTGCACAGGGTTTTGTGGTCAGGTTTTCAATTCATGCTTGTAATCCAAAGTGTGTTGGTAATATGACAAAACAATGATTGGAGTTGTGAAACTGAACATCAGATAACAAATCAGAAAATAAAATGTCAACCTCTTAACAATTTCCACATTTAGTCACTTCTTTGTTGCAAATGTGCGAGTATGTTGCAACATGACTCGAAAAATAAGGCCTTCCCTAAATGTCTTCTATGTTAATGAGGTCCACAGCATGAACACCTTGCATATTTCCAGTTACAGTTTTTTCTGAATGCTTAAACCCTAACTGTGATTCCTGTAGCACAATCTCTAAAACTATTCAGACTTATAGCAAAACCACTCACTGAGTGTGCAAAACTAAAAGCACAAAAACTGCTTTGCACTCAGTTTGCAATTTTGTAACACACACTTTGCAAAACTGTAGGCAATCAGAAAAAACTGTAACGGGACTCTTGTAGTCCTACGGATCACTCTAGCTTTGCACTCTCCTGCTTTAATTACAGTTTTTTCTGAATGCTTAAGCACATTTTTTGTAACTATTGGCTAATTTTGCAAAACTCTTCACACAAATAAGAAAACCTGTCACCCAATAATCAAAACATTGTAGTTCTCTTGCAAAAGCAAACACAGCTAGATTAACTCTTCACACCTTCGTAAAAATGGTGTTTCCGTATCAAACAGTACACACAAGCCATCATCTACTAAGCACACAATGCGCCAACTGCACACTGATGGTATGAATACAAAACACATCTGGCTTTTGCTTTCTCTGTGCACAAGGTAGGCTATGTCAGTTTGAGCTCATACTTCTCTCATAGATCCATAAGCATAGAGGGATCCAAACTTCAAGTACTGGTGTTTATTCAAACACATCAAAACAAACACAAGTGTTTATTTCCAAGTATAGGATTATTTGCAATCGCCATAATGACTCTATGGGTTACTTGGTCTGCAGTGAACATGCTTCCTCTGCCCCCAGCATCTGGTCATCTAGCAGTTCTGTAAAGTAACAATTTCAGTATTTTTACATCAATGGTATTGGTGTGTTTCTCATTGGCATATGGCAGTGCTACAAATCTTTGTGCGAAGTGACTGTATTACAGTTTTTTCTGAATGCTTAAACCCTAACTGTGATTCCTGTAGCACAATCTCTAAAACTATTCAGACTTATAGCAAAACCACTCACTGAGTTTGCAAAACTAAAGCACAAAAACTGCTTTGCACTCAGTTTGCAATTTTGTAACACACACTTTGCAAAACTGTAGGCACAATTCACTGCACAACACTCAATTACCAAATTTCCAACACACTCCTAGCAAAAGTATACACATGTATGGCTATCATTAACACTAATTTGCCAACTGTCTGGCACACTTTCACATGTGAAAACTTTTTTAGATAATTAGTTCACTTTGCAATCAGCCTAAGCCCTATAATACAGGTAAGCTGTGTGTGCGGAGTACAATGGAGGGAGCAGAAAGAGTGAGAAGTAGAGGAGGCCGAGGAAGAGGACGTGGAGGTGAAGAAGTAGGATGAAGAGGACGACAAGGACAAGGAGGAGCAAGAGGAAGACGAGGAGGAGGGAGAGGAAGATGAGGAGGGGGGAGAGGAAGGGCAGGAAGAGTAAGAAATAGAATTGCTGATGACATCAGAGCTACAATAGTGGACCATGTAATCAACCGTGGAATGACCCTGAGGGTAGCTGGCCAACGGGTCCAGCCTAACTCGAGCCGCTACACTGTAGCAAGTACCATAAGGACATCTTGAAATGAGAATTGGTCAGTACAGTCACTTCGCACAAAGATTTGTAGCACTGCCATATGCCAATGAGAAACACACCAATACCATTGATGTAAAAATACTGAAATTGTTACTTTACAGAATTGCTAGATGACCAGATGCTGGGGGCAGAGGAAGCATGTTCACTGCAGACCAAGTAACTCATATAGTCATTATGGCGATTGCAAATAATCCTATACTTGGAAATAAACACTTGTGTTTGTTTTGATGTGTTTGAATAAACACCAGTACTTGAAGTTTGGATCCCTCTATGCTTATGGATCTATGACAGAAGTATGAGCTCAAACTGACATAGCCTACCTTGTGCACAGAGAAAGCAAAAGCCAGATGTGTTTTGTATTCATACCATCAGTGTGCAGTTGGCGCATTGTGTGCTTAGTAGATGATGGCCTGTGTGTACTGTTTGATACGGAAACACCATTTTTACGAAGGTGTGAAGAGTTAATCTAGCTGTGTTTGCTTTTGCAAGAGAACTACAATGTTTTGATTATTGGGTGACAGGTTTTCTTATTTGTGTGAAGAGTTTTGCAAAATTAGCCAATAGTTACAAAAAATGTGCTTAAGCAATCAGAAAAAACTGTAACCAATTCTCATTTCAAGATGTCCTTATGGTACTTGCTACAGTGTAGCGGTTCGAGTTAGGCTGGACCCGTTGGCCAGCTACCCTCAGGGTCATTCCACGGTTGATTACATGGTCCACTATTGTAGCTCTGATGTCATCAGCAATTCTATTTCTTACTCTTCCTGCCCTTCCTCTCCCCCTCCTCATCTTCCTCTCCCTCCTCCTCGTCTTCCTCTTGCTCCTCCTTGTCCTTGTCGTCCTCTTCATCCTACTTCTTCACCTCCACGTCCTCTTCCTCGGCCTCCTCTACTTCTCACTCTTTCTGCTCCCTCCATTGTACTCCGCACACACAGCTTACCTGTATTATAGTGCTTAGGCAGATTGCAAAGTGAACGAATTATCTAAAAAAGTTTTCACATGTGAAAGTGTGCCAGACAGTTGGCAAATTAGTGTTAATGATAGCCATACATGTGTATACTTTTGCTAGGAGTGTGTTGGAAATTTGGTAATTGAGTGTTGTGCAGTGAATTGTGCCTACAGTTTTGCAAAGTGTGTGTTACAAAATTGCAAACTGAGTGCAAAGCAGTTTTTGTGCTTTTAGTTTTGCAAACTCAGTGAGTGGTTTTGCTATAAGTCTGAATAGTTTTAGAGATTGTGCTACAGGAATCACAGTTAGGGTTTAAGCATTCAGAAAAAACTGTAAGAGCAATGAGGAGATGCAATAAACTGCATATATGGAGGTTGTTTCATTGCCCCTCTGGGCCTCTATGCAGGCCTGTGAAAAACTAAGTAGAGCCCATGATTCAATTGCTTGTGGAACCACCTTAAGCAGCAATAACTTGAAGTAATTGTTTTCCGTATGACTCTATTAGTATCTTGCATCCATGTGGAGAATTTTGTCTCACTCTTCTTTACAGTGTTGCTTCAGTTCATTGAGGTTTGCGGGCATTTGTTTGCGCACAGCTTTCTTATGGTTCCCTTAAGGTCTGGGCTGTGAATGGGCCACTGGAATGCTTTCATTCTTTTCTTTTTCAGCATTTCTGTTGTAGATTTGCTGCTGTGCTTGGGATCATTGGGATCATTGCTCTGTTGCGTGACCTAATTTCAGTCAGACAAGTGGCCTCACGTTTGACTCTGGAACACTCTGATATACGCGCGAGTTCATGGTTGAGTCAATAACTGCAAGGTGCCCAGGTGGCTTCAATGGCTACAAAACAAGCTGTTCATCACCATGCTTGATAGTGGGTTTGTGCTGATATATCCAATATATCAAATATAAGCCACGCTGCCATGTTGATTTTAGAGAGAATTGTGGCAATCTTCCAAAGAAGCCATACTTGTTCAGTCTTTTTCTAATTATACTGTCATGGAGTTGAACATTTAATGTGCTAACTGAGGCCTATAGAGTCTGAGATGTAGTGCTTGGTTTTTTTTTCCGATTTTTTAAAATTTCTCTTAGAATGAATTTGCCGGATTTGCACTCATTGAAAAATTGCAGCTTTGTTTTAAACCCACCTGAATGTTCCAGACCAGCAAACTGCCAAGACTTCTTTTAAACTGCTTTATGGTGATTATCAGTTTATTAAGTACACTTAGTTTTCCACAGGACTACCCAGAGCCTCATGTCGGTGTGTCATTTGGCTGTATGTTAACACGTTTATTTCAATGAATCACTGAAATATTTGCTTTCTTGCCAAAAATGAACACGAGAAGTAATAAGTAGCCATTCTATTCTTGCAATCCAGACACAAACAAAGCCAATGCTACTTTTTTATGTTTCCTATTCATTTCACAGAAGAAGATGGTTTATCATAGCAATAGCCTGGCATGAAGTGCAATGGAAAAACATGAAAGCAACAATCACTTTCCACTGAAGAGTGCTAAATCAGGGAACAGAATCAGTTTAAAAGAGTTGAGCAGACCAAAGTGTGCAGTTAGTGACTACGCTGAGAGAAACTCTCAGTGCTATAAATGAGGGCAACATCAAACTCTTGGTGTGTGTATTTCGCACCTTCCCATGACACGGCTGCTGCGATAGTTCTGAGGTGCACCACAGGTGAGCAGCCATCTTGCACGTTTTACACCGTAGAGCTTGTTTGGAGTTTCCTGCAGAGTGGGATAAAGAAGAGAGAATGAAAGCAGGGGACACTGACATTGAAGCAGTCACAAAAAGAAAAAAAAATCAGCAGGCGACAGATGTGCACTCGGCAGAAAGTGCTAACAGAACAAAGTGGCCCTTACATCATATGTGCAGGTTTTTCTCTGTTCAGGTGGAGAATGAAATCAAACCCTGTCCCAGTTTTATCAGGCTGGCACCGCAACCAGAGCTCACACTAACAGCTTCATAATGAACAGCTCTTCTTGCAAAACAACTTAAAGAGATTGGAAAGCAGCTGGACATATTTTAATTATAATCGATTTGGCATTGAGTCATTTACATTTGTATTTTTAAGTGTTTGAGAGCTAAAGTCTCCTGAGACTCCAGTTGTTTTCTTCCCATTTGTTATATGTTTAGAAATCCTCTTTTCATGTTTTAGGGATTAAGGAGTTGAGTCCTTATTATCCTAGAAAACAAAGATCACTGATTTCTGAATTTGTCACAGATGGGGATTATATCGACAGGTCTGTATTAGAGCAGAAACAACAATCAAATAAATTGGGTTGCTCAAGAAAAATAGTGGTTTTAGAGAGAGAAATAAAATTAGTTTAACAGCTTATGAGAAAGAGGCTACACTTTGTTTCGGGTCTGCAGAGATAAATCTAGAGCGAAGTGATGCGTTGCATAAATAAACCCACTAAGGATGCAACAATAAATTTTCAAAAAACTGCACAGGAGCAAACACGGGGGAGCAGGTTGGAGACTGTAATCAGTCACAGTGACAGGAAGTAGATTTAGCAGAAATACTAGAAGCTAGTAGCACTTAGAGGTGAACAAAAGCGCACATCTGCGCTAGAGCTATAGCAAAGTCCAGATCTAATTGAATGACTTAAATCGAGGAGAGAAAAAAGAAGGAAGCAGTGAGGTGAGATTTAAAAACTTCACTTTTCTCAGGAAATCATTATTATTTTGTTTATTTGTACCACTTGAGGTAATTGAGCACCTTAAATATGCTCGTTTTCTGTCTGATATGGAGCTGTATGAGAAGACTGACACCACATTTGTAGTCTCTGTGCTTTCAAATCTGCAAGGGTCTGCATGGATTTAAGTGAAGTAAATTTAATGGTGAGTGGAAAGTTCCACAATTGTCCAGATGCACTTGCCCACTTGCCTACTTCCAACTAGATTTGGAAAAAAAAAGAAGTAAGACCAATTACTTGTCCAAATTTTCTTGCTTGTTCATATGACCAACTCTCTCATCTTTACAGGAAATTTAAAATCACATAAGTGGTAATAAATCATAGGTCCTGAATAATAATTTTACACAAAATTCAAAGTTTTTCATCTAAACTCTTCAGTCTTTAGTTTTCATGAGTAAGTGTATCACCAAAGACCATGTCCAGTGAGAATATCAGGCACCTTACCTACTATCATGTGCTTGCAATGCTGGCAGTTGGTGGGCTTTCGAAAGATGTGGTCCTGGAAACAGTGGGTAATCTGGGGTCGGGGAGGCTTGGCGGGGAGTGATGGAGAAAGGCTGAGTGAGGGCGAGTGGGAGGAGATGGAGGGGTTGGGACTGCGAGATGGTGAAATTGATGGTGACCGGTCACCAACAAGTGGGGAGCCAGGCATCAGAGGGGGGACGGAGGCGGCGGGTCCGTGATGAAATCCTGGGGCAGGCGGGCATCGCTGTAGGACCTTTGGAAGAAGTTCTCCACGCTCTTACTGCGCATCATGGTCTTGAAGGACAATGAGCGTTTTAGTCTCTGGAGCTGCACCCACGGACACACATCGACAGACATAGGGACAAAGATAATGCATTAAAAATAAACACGAGATAAGCAAGAAGCAATAACAAATGTCCAATGTGCCCTCAAGACAGCACAGACAATATCCCGGAATCCATAAACATCACACTCTGTTCAGATCAGTACACCTTAGGGAAAGAAGTTGACTCATGTAAAGCAATATCACCTCATAAGGAAACAACACATTAATAAAAGAGCTGCCTGTCCCCTTCAGCGAGATCGAATTCATATTTTTAAAGGGGTGCTTGTGCTTTTGGTTGAACAAGATAAGCTTTTTCTTATGTGTATAAATTGTACTGGCTTAGTGGTAGTGACAGAAGGACTTTTGTGATAAAACGAAACAAGAGTTTATTCAGCCCGATCATCTATCAACAACCCATCACCAGGGCCCTTAAAGTGAGCGCCGGCTCCACTAAAGAGGCCACACGGTTGCAGTGAGCACAAGTGGTTCAACTCACACACCAACAACATGTGTGAATACACACAGGTAAAGGGTTATTATGCAGCACCCAGACTTTTATTACAGAATAATGGTGCTTTATGTACAACGTGTAGTTTGGCATCATGAAAAAAGCAAGGACTACCCTGAAAAGAGCATTGTCTGGACTGTAAAAATAGCTGCTTTAAAGCCTGTACATATTGTATTATTAAGCATCAATATGCAGCAAGGTCCCCCTGTAGATCTGCAAGTTGCCTATGCCATCGAAGCTAATGGAAACCCATATCAGTACAGATCTTCTGAAGTTCTTTACAAAAGATAAAGAAAGTTGATTAGGAAGATTAGGAAAATGAGAAATAAGTGTGGCAATTCATATCTGCAAACATTCATGAAACATGCATGCCAATGCAGTATAAGAGATAAAATCCAGATGCTTTAATATTATAACAAGCTTGAAAGTCAGTATGTGGTATGGTCTGAGCTCTCTTACACTAGTTTTCTTGTCATTTCTTTAAGTATTTTTCAGGAAATGTTTCTCTGGGCTTTTTTAAGGACGTTTGAAGCTCTTCTTTGGATGTTGGCTGCCTTTGGTTCCATTCTCACTCAAGATGATCCCACTCTGTTTCAGTAATGTTAATATCCAGGTTCTGGGAGGCCAATCCATGACTAGTGGTGCTCCAATGTTTGTTTTTCTGTCCAAGTATAGTTTTACTGCATTGGCAGTGTGCATTGGATGCATCTCTCAGGTACTCTGTCAGGTCTTTGCTTTCTTCAGGACTTTGTGTTCATCTTCTGTAGAAAGCTTTCAGAACTGACATTTTTTCTTTTTTTCTTGTCATGCTTTCTCAGGTTTTTTTAAGGACAATCTACACAGGAAGCAGAAATATTTTAAATTTTGGCTAATCGCTGTTTGGAAATCACCTTGTTGTTAGAAAAATACAACTTTATGTTTGTCAAACTGTGTCATTTTTAGCATTTTTCATGGACTCAAATAAAGAAATGGAATAAAATTACACTTGTTTTGTGTTTTGTAATAGGCCGATAGTAACAAAGTGCCTAAAGATACAATTTAAAATTAGTTCATTGCTAAGTTGTCTGTTATGTCTAGACAACACTGGTTCATACCTTGAGTTTGTGCTTGAATGATTCATAGTTCAGTGTTAAATGGCTTAACAAGTAAAAAACACTCCTATGAAAATGGTCAGGTACTACCACTGGGCAAAAAATGAGTAAAAAAGCAGCCAGTGTCCCAAGACATGTTTGAAAGGCTGCCAGAAAGCATAGACAGGAAAATTACAGAGTTCAGTTCTTTATAGTGTGCTGTCAACACCATATGTGCTGGATGGTACCTCTCCTCACTAAGTTGGAGAAGTGTCTTTTATTTCCAAAAAGAATATCACATTTTGACTGGTCACACAAGAAGACAGGTTTCTTTTTTTGCCTCAGTATAGCTTAAATTCCCCAGAGATGGTTGCAGCATTCCTGGATCATATTTACAATTTATTCTTTGTATGGTAGAGTGTTAACTTGGATTTGTGGATTTCTCTGCCCACACAGCCTTTGCCTGAGTCATGAACCTCTGCCCATCTTTGCTTCTGAGAGACTCATCCTGGACGCTCCTTTTTATACCCAATCATTTTTCTGGCCGGTTACCAGTTAACTTTTTAACAGCTTTTGCAGGAACACTGTTACATTAGGTGTAATAACCAAACCAGTTCTTTAAGTTCAGTGCATTTCAAAATCTTAAGAGTCAAATGATAAAACATCACATCAACAGGCATCACATCAGTTATCTACAGAATGCCTAACATTGATTGACTAGATAAATGAATGGTTCCTGACATTTGCCTCCAGCTCTATGTACGGTTGATGATGCTAGTTTCCCAGGGACAGGCAGACATTTGTTACAATGACATGCGATGGAAGGGGTAACGCTGTGTGAGGGTGTGGTCACGTCGCAAGGAAAGAACGGATGAACACAGACAGACGAGGAGACAGATCATCAGCAGGCTACATACACTCTGCGCACATGCTCTGTCTGTCTGTGCTCATTCTGCTCAGCACCAAACATAATCACTTAACAGGGACATGTTGTTTACAGCTCTGTGAGTCTGGGAATAAGCTATGAAGACAGTTTGTCTATTTGACTGTGTGTCTGTGTGTGTGAGGAACACATCGATGCAGCGCAAAAGAAACAAAACTGTAGGAGTGTAACTGAATGTACATTTGCACACTCCATATGCTTCCTCTATTTGTGAAATTATTTCCCTTCATTAGATTACATTGATGAAGATTAGGTACGCTGTGGACTACTACAATTCATTATATCTCTGTTAGACATCTCTGAGCACCGAAGGGTGTTATTCTTATCTTTATTTTTTAGAACTTTGAAATAAAGTACGCCGCTTTGTAACCAACTGCTTCGTTAAATACATATAATCTGGGCAAGGACATTTTGCAGGATTTGCATTTCTTAGCTTCTGGTTGGGGATTTAGGGTTTCTTATTGTAAGCTGAATCGCTGCAAGTGTTCGTTCACCTATTTATGGCAGCTTCTTGACACACAAGTGTTGTTAGCTGCAGGAAATGTGCAGCATGTCTTCTATGATGCTTATAGATGCATGTTCACAGGCAGGTAGCCTGGATGCAGGCAATTAGTGCGTTGGATATGTCCATGTGTTTTCTGGGTTTCACTGAACTATGCACCACAGTGATCCTAATGCATAACTTAAAACTTTCAGTTTGGGAGATTCAGTTCAATTCAATTTTATTTATACAGCGCCAAATCACAACATCAGCTGCCTCAAGGCGCTTTATATTGTAAAGTAGACCCTCTAATAATACATAGAGGGAAAAAACCCAACAATCATATCACCCTCTATGAGCAAGCACTTTGGTGACACTGGAAAGGAAAACCTCCCTTTTAACAGGAAGTAACCTCTGGCAGAACCAGGCTTAGGCAGAGGTAGCCATCTGCCCTGACCAGTTGGGGTGAGGGGAGGAAGACAAGACAAGAGACATGGTGTGGAAGAGAGCCAGAGATTAATAACAAGTAATGATTTATTGCAGAGAGGTCTAAAGCCAGAGATGCCTTTTGCTTTGTTGCGTGTGATCTTATTCTAGTCAGATTAAAAATGTTAAAAAAGTTGTCATGTAAGGATGAACAAGCATCTAATTTATGCTTACCAAATAAATAATGATTAACATCTAATGATCTGTTCTCGAATTGCATTAGTAATTCATTTTTTTAATGAGGGGTAAAATAAATTTGGTGTTGAAGCAGGTACAGCAAAACCCACATGTTTGCAACCTGGTAATATTTTCTCAATAATGACTTACTAATGTAAGCAAAATGATTCATGAAACATTACGACTTATAAACTATATAATGGGGTGGAATATATTTTTAATGATGTTAACAGTACAAAGTTGTTTTGACTTCATATTTTATGTGCAGCATCACAGCCTTGAGCAGAGCTCTTTCAATCAGAGTGGCTGAGTGCTGGCATAACAGCTCCAGCTATAGAGCACATGTCTCAATTACAGCTAATCTAATCATCTGTCAGTGTGCGGGTCTGAAAAGCATTCCCGTTTTCTTCCATTTGAACATTATCTGAAAGAATAATCCTTCTGACTCAAGGCCGATGTGACATCAAGTATGATGTGGAGCTTCACTGCACATTCATGTGCACCACCGCACATGAGGTGAGATGCTGATATCGATGAGTCAGAAGCGATATATGCCACACTTTAGTCCCAGATTTATAGCTGATTATTTATTGATTATTCCTTTTATGAAAATCCCTGTGACCTGCAACGGGACCTGCCTCAGTCTTCTGTCACTTCTTCCCCAACTGCACTTCTCCAAGTAATACTCAACCCGTTTCAGCTTAAAAAGACGCATTTGGATCAAGTCTTGCCTGCTAATGTTCCCCCCTCAACGTTTTTTGTGACTCATACATGACTAATAATGTGATGCAAAATGCAAAATATTGCACAGATTTACACACATCTGCAGAGTCAGTCTTCTTTGAGCAGCTCCTATCTCACTGCTGCAAAGCAGACTGACGAGCTGTCTCAGCAGACCTGTAAAAGCCCACAATTTTCACATCTTCGATCCGTATTACAACAGACCTCTGCCTTTCTCACATGTTGCCAGCATAAATGTACAAAATCAATTCTCCACAGCGGAACAGCGAGGATTGACTAGTCATAATTCAATGATAAGACTTTTATGTCACTCGAATACCGCCATCAAAATTTAATGGGGCCAGTCTGAGATATTTATGGGATGCTCCAGTCTGCCCAGAGGTCAAGACTCAACAACAAAGCCTTTGTCCCACTGGGAATATGAGGATAATATAGGCACTCTGGAATTTGGTGAGATGGTCTGAGTGGGGCCTGCATCACATGTTTTCAGTGTTTAGAAATGTAACACCAGTAGGATTACTATAAGTCAAAACTCTATAGGTGTGCAAGGGTGTGTGTGTGTGTGTGTGTGGGGGGGGGGGGGGGGTTTACTTATTCCCTTTCTTCCCCATCACTCCTGAAGTGTGCCAATTTTCTGCTCTGCCATCAGCAGTAGTAAAGAGAACGTGCTGCACGGATTGGAAAAAACAGTTACTGCAATTGATCCATGCCTTAAGTCAAAACCAGTATTCAAGTCTATATGACCTTAAATCAATATTTTAATTTGTCTACCCTTGAATTTCCACTTTAATCACTCCAGCTAGTTGCGCTATAAAAAACGAGGTACATTTCTTTTCTTTTTTTTTTGCAATGATGCACGTCATAGTGACTGACCTTGTTCTAAGTGAGGATATTTCAGCCTTAAGAAGGATAACCGAGTTATAACTGCGCTCTGAAAGACACAGTCTCCTGGCTCCCTCCAATTCTAGGTCATCAGCAGAATATGTCATTTCAGAGGAAACTGTCACCATCAAATACCAGGTACATGGATTTCAGCATATAATTATTTTCACTGTGTGGCTTCAACTCTTCTCCGACAGTTGTAACCGAACAAACGCGAAGATTTTACTAAAGTGAAACACAACAGCGGGAAAAAGAATCACATAGAATAAAAATATGAGCGAGCAGCTGTATTTATGATTACAAGGAGCACATGTGGAGCGGTTTTATGTCCCAACATTTCTCGGGTTGATCGAAATTTCTTATTATGCATGGCATCCTGGCAAATTCCTGCTCTCAGTGCATGAGAAAAGATGCATAATCACAGGCTGCCTCCTACGTTCTGCTACTATCACACATGCATGTACACACCGTCAATCATTTACACACACACACACACACACAATCACTTTCAAGGACTGTTTAACAGCAGAGATGATCTCTGTGGAATAGCAGTGTGGAGTATCTTTTGTGCTCCTGTAGGTTTCTAGTGTCCAGTATTTCAGCATCTCACACTTTTCCTTGTAGTGTCACATTAATAAACATCACAGCAGTGAAGGTGTTACACTGATTAAAGACGACCTTGGCCCACTTCAGCTTCCTGATTTGACTTACTTACCTGCTCACATCTATCTGATCTGTGTCATATCCCCTTCTGAAGAAAAAGCCAAAAGTGTGAGCGTCACTTTAAAGATGTTTGTACATCCGAAATATAGCGAAAACACCAGAAATCATGCACCTGCTAGATGATTAGGAAGAGTTCAACCTGAATGGCAGTAATGACTATGGCCTGTGTGAACATGAGCAGGTGCACATGATAAAACCTGCTTGCTTTATGACAAATGATGACTGCTGTATCCATCAAAAGTGATGCAGTGAAATGTTCTCTCCCATTCGATGCTGTCTTCGATGTCTTCGATGCTGTCTTCACAGCAACCACTCCTTTATCCTTAAATGAATTAAAAGAGATGTCGATAAAGACGGTGCTTTTTCTTAGAACCATCTACATTACAGAGGTGTTTATTACCACCTGGGGTAAAAACCCAAATCCATTTTCTTTTAGTCTGACCATGAAGTTTGCGGTTTGGGTGGTAATTTCAGTTAAATGTCTCAATAGTTTTTTTATGGATTGAAATTTGGCACAACTTAAATTTTTTCCATCAGGATAAATTGGTGACTAATAATGTAGTAGCACCATTAATAGAGCCTACTGCACTTCTGTTTAGTGCTGCTTCAGTACCACTGCTGAATTTAGTAAATAGTGCTTAACGTGCACACTTGCATCACCTTTTTGAGTGTACCAGTTTTTACACAACCACTAGCTAGACTGGAGGCTCTATTTCTTTCTTTCTTTTATTATTATTTTGGTTTTAAATAATGCTTTAATTACAATCCTGACGACTCTGATATTACAACTAACTGGTTGTAATTTAATCGAGACCAAGACTATTTAATCAAGACTATTTTAGTATAAGAACACATAATAGGCTACTATTTAAAACACACTTCCTGGTTGTCTGTTCCCAGTTGATGTTTTGGACAAAGTGAAAACAAGGTGATACAGCTCAGCCTTGTTAAACTGCCTTTTCCTGAATAGCCAAAAGAAAAAAAAAGTTTTTTGGACGTTTCAACGTAAAAAGAAAGCCATCCATTACAAAAAGATACATTTGAATGTAAGCTCTTTAAGATTAATTGTAACTTAGCTTTGAAACAGGGACAGTTCAGCTTCACTGTAGGGAAAGCCAGTCACCTTTCATCTCTCAGTCAGCTGCATATGTGTGTGTGTGTGTTGTGCGCTCACATCCATTTAAGAGGGTTTAATGAAGAATGCGAAGTGGACACACGGATGGATTGTGGGAGTTGTAATTACTCAGCAGGCAAGCTGACAAACAAGTATATCAACCAAAAACATGTTTACGCCTTTATATCTCTGCGCTCAGACATCATCCTGTGTGTTCATCCAGGAGAGAAGATGTTTACCTGTGCACCTCCATCACAGAAAAAGCTCCCAAAGCATCAACAGCCCAGAGAGATCAAACTGCTCTGCACAAAAAGAGCAACACTATAGGCTGATGACTCGGGCATCTAATTGGCTCCACCACTCACATTTCTGCCAGGCTTGGCAATACACTACAGATTATTGTTGGGAGCTGGAGAGAGAGACTGCGCTTCCTCTTCTCATAATCTTCTGGCACTGTTTTCCTCTGTTCTTGATTTACGATATCCATCTTTGGTGGGATTTTGCTGCTGGTGGATTTTGGGGAGCATCTGTTACCTCTTTCGTTTCCTCCCCGTCATTGTTGTCTAATAAAAACCATCACGGACACATGACTATGTGTCTGATTAGATTCCTTCAAAAATGTCACCCTGTAGCTGTGTATTTTTATGTGAGGAACAGCCTCCAGAGCCAAGCTGACAAAAACTCTGCATTTTTACTTTGACACTTCAATGGCCAGGTATTTAATTCATTCGAAAGGATGAGTTCCTCTAGCATAAAGGTTGATGGTTAATTTTGAATCTATCCCACACCACAGAGAACTCAATAGATTGAAAGACCAAAGGCAGATGATCAAACTGATGGGTTTTTTTTTTTATTATAGAGGGCTGTGACACGATGAAGCCAGAGCGAACCGGTGAATCATTTGAATACCAATCAGTCCAGCTTGGAACAGGCTCACACCCAGTTTTCACCAGTAGCAGCTGGTGAGAAGAGGAGAGCTGGAGTAGAACGCCTGGAGTAAGTGGTGTTAAAATTGCTTGTAACAACGTCAACTTGTATGCTTTCAAAGAGGACATCAAACATTTAGATGAAGCACAGAGGCAGTCTGAGGCTGGTGAAGTATGTGACTGTGCTGCACGGAGTGTCACTTTCCTCCAAACATGTCAGCAACGTGCATGTGTTTGTGTGTGGGTGGCATAAAGAGTCATAGGGTAGATTTGACTTAGGGAAAGTTGTATCAAGCTGGTTGATCTTATGTGTCCTTCCATTAAGAAGCAGACATCGGGAAAGCTTCCACAGCTTGGAGGGCAGCCCCAAATCTTTGTTTATATAGCTGAGTGAACAAATTAAATGGATTCATAAAGACCCTCTGAAAGGGCATTTGTATCTTAGACATGCACACTAGTAGCTGTGTATATGACAGACACAAAATTCACATAAGCAAATGCAGCGTCTTATTTATTGCAATATAAACTTGCTGCCAGCATAGAAGAAACAGCGTGAGTGCTGCAATGTCCGCAAAAAAACTGCAGCTCATCAAAAAAGAAGCAAATTAAAATAACAAATGGACAAAAGCATTAAACACTTCCATTATTACATGTTGGTTTTGCTGCCTAATAGTCATTAAAAACACACACTTGAACCCTTTTGTGTGCGCCTGCTTCTAATGGATTTTGACAGAAAGAGAGACAGTATGACATCACACCTGACGTGTGAGGTTACATCTATAGTGACGCAGTCGTGATGAATACTACTGCAATTGTGTTGTTATTAGTATTACATAAACGGTGGAGATGCAGGTGGAGAAAACCATCAAAGGAGAAGAATACACTTAAAATGAATAAAATAAGTCTTATTAATAGTTCAGTGTGTGCATTTAACTACTCAGCAAAGTCACTCACTTATGTCTACTGATACTGTTCTTTTTCGATTCGTTAGGCACAAATACGTGTATGTTATGATCTGCATGGCATCTGAAAAAGAACCAAACTCCAAATTTAGGTACTTGCCTTGGAAGTCACTGGTTGGATGGGCATATTGCTTGGAGAGCGCTGGAGCTCCGAGTCGCACTCCATCTCATTGTTTTCGGTCATAATTGGTGTAGAAGTGGGAAGCGTCGTTCGAGACACAAACAGCAAAAGTTTTAACTCCTCAAATAGAGTCCAGTCGGTAGAAGATTTCCGGATTTAGCCATTTAAAAGACTGACAAAGTGTGACAGATCCACATCAGAGGGATTTGTGCGCGCCTCAGGGCCACCGACTCCACAGAACACGTTTCTGGGTTTATTATGATCTGTGAGAACAGGTTATAAATTCACCAGCTGTTAATATCTCATTTATGCCACGTGAGGATGGGTATTCAGGAAACGGCTGAACCTTGCGTGTGGGTAGTCTTTTGTGTCGCCCGCTGACGCGCACCGGAAAGCTCCAATGTGGCACAATTCCTCCGTCCTCCAGGTGCAAATACGGCTCAAATCAGCAAAAAATGTCGCTGTGTGAATATGAGAATGTCAGCGAAATAAAATCATATCCAAATCGTCATCAGCTTGTGTTCTGGAGGAACTCGCTAGGTGTAAATCCAAAGCGAACTGTGTCCTTCACCGCTGCACAGACTTAAATTTAAGCGCATTCTGAGGCACGCCTTTCCATGCGTCTGAGGCGCATGATTGGGGCATTTTTATTTGTTACAACTCTACCGGGATTCATTTAGTCTAAATCAAGACTGACGGCCACGGGCGGAAGCTTATTCAAAACCCAAATATACATTAGCTTAAAATTTTCTCTGTTCTGGAGTAAAAGCAAGAGCAGCACTTCATTCTGCTGCTGGGATTTTGCGTCTTGAGTGTGTGTGTGTGTGTGTGTGTGTGTGTGTGTGTGTGTGTGTGTGTGTGTGTCAGAGCTGCTGTTTAATTCTATGCGCCTCCATGGTGCAGCCATAGACGCGTAGTTACAAATAGTAAGTGTGATTACATACAGTAACTCACAGACACGGATATCTTTTAAAAATATATTGCGATTTTAAGGCTATACGTTAGATAGACATGCAAAAAGGAATTAAGAAGCCACAAGAACACACAAGACGCTAGAGAGCCTTCTGCTGCTTGATTAAGCAGTGAATCAGAGCAGGCATCTTCCTCTTCAGAAGAAGAGCAATGAGTATAGGCTGAGCTGTGTTAGAATTATTCGGAGTTTTAGAGAAACTATATTGAGACAATTTTGTTCTGTTATCATCCATTCCTCTTCATTTTCTGCCTGCACCCTACAGCAGTGAATACTGAAAGTGTGGCTACCAGCTGCTGCCCACAGAATTAAAGCTTAATTTAAAGTGGCATCAGTATTGCTACCTGCTTTTAAATGCAATCTCATTTCCTACCTGGTTTAATCAGCGTTCTGGGACAAGTTCCTATTGCTTCTCTCCTTTATAAAACACACAGGTGACAGACAGGGTGGGTTAAATAATAATGGCATTTCAAAAGGAGTTCAATGTTAATATTAACAGAGTGGCATGGAGAAGGACTTCTAAATTTGATTCAAGTTTTTTTTCCTTCTTCTTCTGTCTGCAAAGCGTTTTTTCTCCAAAGGCTGACATCAAAGTTTCCTGTCAGAAACTCTTTGGGCGGGGGTGTGCTAGAGAATGGAGGAAGAAGAAAGGCTACGAGAGGAAGCCTCTGTTATCACATTCATTATTGCTTCACTCAGAGCCAGAGAACAGCACACAACAGAGTGACTGCTGGAAGTTTTAAAAAAAGAGAAACCCAAAACAAAAAAGCATTCAGTTTTCTAGTGTATAGCAGTGTCTGCTGTTAAAAATAAACTTAAGTTAAATATCTCGGTGCAGTGTTGTGCTATGAGCTGTGATCTGATCCAACAATGTTTGAACTCAGAACAGCTGAGAGAGCTGAATGAGGGAAACACACACACTCATTTCAATTTTCCCCTCAAAGCTACTCACCTTTCATCCTCCATGTGATACCCCAGGTGCCAGAACACGCCCCGGCTAAAAATGAACATTAAAACGGAGTGAAAACACATTTGATCTCTTACTGATTTAGACACATGAGGAAACAATGGGAGGATGAGAGGAACAAAATGAGTCCCATGCGGCGGAGGACAGATCCCAGTCCTGACAGCGGTCGTCATGGTGCAGCTACAGGACCAGGGCTGCAGCTCTTTCCATCGCATTAAATTGATACAGATTGTTCATCTGCTCCTCCACCTCAGACATCTGAATGTAAGTGCAAACAAACATAGCTGCATGACTTTGCATGCAGTATGTTGTGAGCTCACATTTGAACCCACAGTCACCAATGTGACAATGTTTTTCACTATACCCAACTGCTTGTCTGCATTTGTGATTAAAATACTTTTATAATAAGCTCGATCTCGAATAAAGGATACAATCAGACCTTTTTAAAGACTGTCACTGACTTTGAGGCTCTGGTAGCCTGACCTGAGTCTTCAGATAACTGTTTTTTTAATATATTGTAGAAATGTTATTGTAGCCATGTAGACAGCCTGAGGAGTTACATGTATATATGAATACCTGACAAATTAATTAAGGCATACAGGAAGAACTTATGTCTTTGGATTCATCTCTAGTCACACTAACATTACAGGAAATCAAGAAATAAATTTAGACATGTATTAATGCTATGCTAAACACGAAAAAGTATTGTTCATATTTCAAATGTTTGCTTTTTGCTGTAAGGCTTTTCCATGTTTGGAAGAGACTTTAGGGCACGTCATGTTAGGAGTGCAGGGGTATTGGTAGATATTTAAAAATCAGAGGAGGATTCATTTTATTTCAGTTTCAGGGTTTTTGTGCATTTTGGCTCACGTTTTCCATTATGATTGAAATCAATACCACCTGTATTTTTCCTTTACGACAGCCACATTTACTTCTATTTGACACGTAGCTAAAGAAAAAAAAAAAAGAATAAAAAAAAATTATATTAATAATAATTATATATTCCAGTCTGGGGCTTCTAGTTTAACCAGTTTTTTTCCCCTAACTGAAGCAAGTCAATTACTTATTGAATAATTGATTCAGAACTGGATCCTGAAATAAGCTGAGAGCTGAAATCATAGCAGCAGAGAGGAGAGTGGCTCATTGCTGCCATCTACTGCTGCGATGATAAACCACCATTAACCACAAAGTGAGAACAAGGTGCAAACAACTCTTAATAATATAGGTATATATTTATTCATACGTACATATTCATTTATAATCGGTTAATTGTAAAAAAAGAAAAAAAAGAAAAAAGAGATTTACAGTAATTTAACTACAGTCATTGTCAAAACTTTTTTTTGTTTAAATATCTCAGGTGCCAATCTACCCTGAACACACACTTGTAAGTTCACCTGTTGCCCTCTGCCTCTGTCCTTATCCACAACCTTACTCCAGTGTTTAGGATCAAACAAACGGACCCAGAGCGTAACAGCTCGACTTCTGTGTAAACTGGTGGAAGATCTGACACACGCACACACAAAGGTGTTTTGTTACTGTAAGGGAAAATAAGTCTGGTGTTTTGCTGTGTAGAGCCTGTAGTGTATTTCTGTACCACGAAAAAAGAAGGAAAAAAAACAAAAAACAAAACAAAAAAAAAAAAAATAAAAAACAGGTGACAAGTCATTTCTTTTGTACATATATAAAACCTTCAGGAGCAAGTTGAGTACTATTAGTTGTAGTCCGTGTTGTCGGCATGCGTTTATGACTTAACTGGTGCACGACGAGGACAAGCAGATTTGACATCCCAGCTCACAGACTAGAGTCCCTGACTTTCTTTTTCCTTGAGTTAACAGTCTTAAAACCAGAGCACAGTGACAGAGTGCATTACATTACTCCACCATTTTGACTCTTGGTTCTTCTCTAATCCCCCATAAACCCCATTCAAACAAAACAGATCAGACTGGATTACACTGGATTCATCTCGGCTTGTATTATCCTGCTTGTCATAGCTGTCAAATCGCACGCACGCAGACACACCGAACAGAATCATCACTCTGCATTTTGCGTGATAGATGCCTGTTGCTGAGCACATCAAAACCAAAGCACAGGGGCATTTGCAGGTAATCAAAATTTTGCAGTGAGTTTTCCTGTTTTTGTTGTATTGAAGCATTTGGATAGGTGCATTATGGGACGGATCCCATTTGGAACGGCAAGGCATAAAAATGAAGAAGAGAAAAGCACACTTAACGGGGGGGAAAAGAAAATCTTTCCGTCCTTCTCCTTGATGGAAACATTCAATAAGCAGACCGTACGTCATACATACACGTCATTGTGACCGTTAGCCCTAGATTAAAAGAAATTAAAAAATAAATCTGACTCACATTTAACATTTCAAACAATTGCACTGGTGCGAACACTTCTCCTGGACAAAGACTACACTCTGGACATTAACAATAAACTCTGGATAAAAACAAACTCCATCAGATCAAAACTAAGGACTGGAAGAGGGCTCAAACTCAACTTGGAGACACTGAACTTGTGACTTCAAACACAAACAGGCAGAATCCAAACCACAGCAAAACAGAAAAACAAAGAAAGCTCCAGAGGAAAATCGTGTAGAGGAGAAAGCAGTAAAAGACACATTTATAAAATGAAAAGGGAACAGGAGATAATGAATGAAGCCGGTGCAAGTGTAGGACAAGATAATCCATAAGAAAAGGCGCCAATACTTTAAAGGGCAGGGGAGGGGGCTGAAGTCCATTATAGCCCTCTTTTGTGACAAAAATCATTCCATCATATCTGTCAGCAGGCCAGAGCTGTGCGCTCAAGATTCAGTCAACTTCCTCCACCAGTCTGATCTGGTTGTAACCTCCTGCAGCATCACTGGTCCCAGACAGACTGAGGAGGTCACAGGTGGCAGGGTGCAGCACACTATCACTCCGTCCCCTGAAAGGCCTCATAGAAGTTGAGAAGTCGCAGATGCCACTCCAACATCAAGCACATCCTTCCGCCACTGCGTGGGGTTCACCAGTTCCTCGTCATTGGAACCATCAAGGACTCGAAAACAAGCTTGACTTAATGAAATCAAACTAACTGAAAATAGCTTTACTTTGATTGTTTTCAGTTGGCTTTTTCTTTCCATTGTCCTGGTCTGACACCATGAATTAATGCGGTCGGACCTTTTTTGTTGACAAAAGAGAAAAAAAAAAAAGTATCTTTTTAACGTCTTCTTTTGTTGACATGAGCCTTCACATGCCAGCATCAGTTTGTTTCACTCCATATCGAGTACTGGGTCATTTCTTTTTTACTCTCCAAAAGCTCCAGCACATATTCTCACGCACATCTGCACGTAAACAAGCATGCTCGAGACTCCTCAGAAAGACTCATCGACGGTAATTTCTGCCCAGTCTCATATCATCATGTTGCTGTTTATCTGGCTTCAACTCTCTGACTCCCGCAGTCCTCACATATTTACATTGAGATTTTAAAAAACTAGAGGTGTTACATGCAACATTTGGCATCTTCTCAAGTCCCCACTTGTAAGCCTTAATTGTCCATTTTTAGAAAAATATTAAACTTTGTCTTCTTTTTTATTTTTCCTCTGCACTATATTGAAGCTTCTGATTGTAAC